AGGGTTGAACCTGACTACACCGTGGTTTCCACATATGGATGTGGAGAAGAGCGCGCAGACCGAGTTTTCGAGATATCAATGTTGGAATGCGCCGTTTCTGCCGATGGCTGTCCACCACATGTATAGAGACATGCTCGAAATGGAGGAGTCGAATTTGTCGCATTTCACTGTGGGGGAATGTTCGGATTTCTCGGGGTTACCGCGGACTTGCATGCTGGTTGCGGGACAGAGCTTGTTGAGGGATCAGGCGTTGAGACTTGCGCATTGCATGGAACAAGCTGGGTAGGGCTTTATTTTGTTAGTTTCTTCATCTACGGGGGCTGTACTGACGGTCTACTAGGGTTCAGCTATCCATCGAAATATTCTCCGGAATGCCTCATGAGTTTCGTCGCATCTATGTCTTACCGCAGGCTGAGGTTGCGAATGCTATGGTCGAGGATAATATTAGGTGGATTCTGAAGATGTCTGGGCGTTTGTATATCAACTAAAATAATTACAAGTTGTGATACCATGGAGTTCTCTTTCTATTGATATGTGGACTACAGGAATGGCCTTTGCGTTGTGTGTTTATGAAACGGTCATTGCACCAATTGTATGATTCAACTAGCTTCATTAGCTAGAACATGCCTTCTCGCTTATATGCGCAAATTCCTTCTGCTCCTTATCGTACCAAACGCCATGTTTCCTCCACTCCTCATTGTCCGAGTACCGATCCAGGTACCAGGTGATATTACCACCGGAGAATTCCGCATCGACGAACCCACATCCCAAGTACCCGAATCTATTTCCACTCCAATATTCAATCTCGTAGTCGCTCAGAGTAGGTGTATTCAGTGCTTCGAAGAATGCCAATCGAGATCCAGGCCAGATAGTAATCGGGCCATCAACCCTTCCCTGCTTGAACCAGCTAGAACATGGATCAGACCAACACGTCCGTGGGAAGTATGTCCGAGCGTGCTCGACAAAGTCGCGCACTGCGGACTCCTTAGGACTGAGTCGCCGGATATGCTCTCTCCGCATACGCTGGACGATCTGGATGAAGTGGTTCGTCACGTGGGAAATGATGGGGAGAATGGACCCATGTGCCGCAGGCGTAAAGGGACCTCCGTACATGAAGTAGTTCGGGAATCCGTCGATGCTGACTGTCAAGTAACTGGTCGGAGCATCTTTCCATTTATTCGCCAGATTGACGCCGTCTAACCCGATGATCGGGTATCGGGGTCGAAACGATGTGTCGAATCCGGTAGCGCAGATGATGACGTCTACCTCATGTTCAGTTCCTGTTGCGGAGTCGATGAAACCTTTCGGTGTGATCGATTGGATCCGTTCGGTGAAGACGGTTGTCTTGTCGGACGCGAGCGCTTCTAGATAGCCTGTGCCGGGTGTTGGGCGTCGGCAGCCTACGTTGAAGGTCTTGGGGATTAGGGCGTCCTTCACGTAGGGTTTTGGTGCGAGTTTGTCGGACATGCTCTTGTAGGAGGACTAATAATATGTGGCTTAGTATCTGGAGTCGATAGGTTTGTAAAAGCACGTACAGCGTTCGCTTCGTCCGACTCAGCGGTGTTGCGAAGTGTGAGTTTGGCGCGTTGGTTGAGCTCATGCTCTACTGACTTGTGGTACCGGTGGTACATTTCGGGGTCTTTGTTGAAGTCGCTCTTTTGCTCTCGGGTATCTGGATGGCATTAGTGTTTATCTTTTGTGGTAGGGAATGCAACGTACAGTCAAAGTTGCGACCGTCCTTCCCGGCGTATCGTTGCGCAAAAGCTGCTGTGATCCAGATTGGGGTTCGCACCCAGGTGTAGAGGTGTGAGACGTCGTTGAGGATTGAGGGAACGACTTGGACACCTGAACTGCCGGATCCTATCACTGCTACACGCTTGTCCTTCAGATCCAGTCCCTCGGGGTAGGCTGCTGTGTGGCACAGGGTTCCTTGGAAAGAGTGCAGCCCCGGAGTGTCAGGCCATTTCCAGGAACTGCACTGAGGTCAGGAGGATGAATGCCAGGAGGAAGGGGGACAAGACGCACTTCAGGAATCCAGCTCCGTTTATCAAGACATCACACTCATCGTCCCATTCCTTCACGCACGGCGTATCTTGTTGCAGCTTGACCACCCATTTACTCTTTTCCTCGTTCCAAATTGCGGATACCACGCGGGTGTTTAGCGTGATATACTTCATCATGTCTTCTTCGACGACGATCTGCTTCAGATACTCCCAAATCTCCTGTGCACTCGAATAGAAACTCGACCAGTTTGGGTTTGGACGCCACGGGAACGAATAGGCGATGCTAGGCACATCGCACGCACATCCCGGATACCGATTCTCATACCAAGTCCCTCCGATATCTGCGTTCTTCTCGTAGCACGCAATCTCCACACCCAGTCCAGCTAGCGCCGAAGGGGCATAATGGAGAAAGTCGATCCCCGATGCTCCCGCTCCCATCATAATTATCTTGAACGGTTTCCCCAATGGAGGCTCGTTGATCAGATGACTGTAAACCGTATAGCCCCGGTCGGATGGATTGTTGAGTTCCGCATGTTGGACGGGTCTAGTTACCGAGGCAGGATGAGGCCCCGGGGTATTGCTCCCAAGGCGACTATCCCCGGGTAGACCATATTTCTCGAAAACTGGATTGGTTTGCACGGTCTGATCAATGGAGCCCATGTTTGTGGGGGTGAGTTACAAATCACTCGATGCTTGAATCAATAGAGTTGAGGGTGGAGACAAGGAGCCAAATTTAGCTAGAGGACGTAGTGCGAGCGCACCAACGATCCAATATATAACCTGCCATGTGGCATTCAGCTATCACCATCCCTGTCACTCAGTAAGGCCTATCATGAGGGAAAATGGCCGAGGTCTGGACTGTTGCGATAGGGTGCATTAGACTGTTCCTTGCTGTGTGTACTTGATGGTTATCAGTGGACTTGAACCAAGCGTGGGGTTTGATGCTGCGAATCAGTGGGAGGGGCAAGTGAGGGGGTGGATGGCACAATTTTGGACCAAGTGGGTGGATGGATACGCGTGAGCCAATACGCGTTACACACTGGCTATCCTCGGTGAAACCACCCCATCCTTTGCATATATAGAGCGCACAAACCAGAGACGGTCGCAAATCCATCACTTGGATATGCACGCTGGAGACATATTTGTCACTTGATTGTTCAGACCATCCGAAGCCAACCGACAAATGCTCGAATTTCCAAAGTCCGACCGTACCGTTCGGGTGCGAATGGTCGATACCACCACTTTAATGACTGTCAACACCGGATTCCTCATACAACCAGTGCAGCCGGGCCATGAGATTTTGAACCTCACTGATGTTGCCTTTCTTATAGAACATGAGGCATCAAATCAGAAGGTCATGTTCGACCTCGGCACGCGAAAGGACTACTGGAACCTCCCGCCAGTCGTTCGCCAGCCTTTTGATCAAGCCATGAAGGCGGCGAGAGTAGACAAGGATGTCACTGAAATCCTTTCTGAGAAGGGCATCGAACTGCGCGACATTGGTAAGAAGCTCCAGTTTATATCCATGCGTTCTCTTCTCACAAGTGCTGACTGTGTAGGGTCTGTCATATGGTCTCACTACCACTGGGATCATATAGGAAACGTCGCTCTGTTTCCCCCAACCACCACGTTGGTTGTAGGCCCAGGGTTCAAATCTCACCCTCATCTGTTGCCTGGCTTCCCAGAAGACGCTGAGTCTCCAGTGTCAGCGGATGCCTTCGTTGGGAGAGCCGTGGTTGAGCCTGACTTCGAAGACGGATTGACGATCGGAGGGTTTCGTGCACAAGATTTCTTTGGAGATGGTTCATTCTACTTGCTGGGTAAGTCAATCGGTCTTCCTGTGAGAAGCTGGAGCTGCTTACTGTATAACTAGACACACCTGGGCATTGCGTCGGTCACTTATGCGGCCTTGCCCGGACAACGGCTGACACCTTCGTCTTTCTTGGTGGTGACATCTGCCACTTTCCGGGCGTCATAAGACCAAACTCCAGGCTTCCATTCCCAGACAACATCCCCTCAGAGGTCTTGGACGAAGATTTATTTTTTCCAAGTCCATGCCCATGCAGCATTTTCACAAACAGCCACCCGATAGCCAAGGTTGACCCAAAGCAAGAGCCCTTCTATGAAGTTTCCGGGTACGAAGGAAGTGCCTTTTTCGACGCGGAGGTTGCACAGAAGTCTGTCACTAAACTCTTAGACTTTGAGGCATCCGAGAATGTTTTGATATGTATAGCCCATGATTCTGATCTGCTACTGCATCTTCCCACGTTCAATGACTCGCCGTCCTCTGACCTCAATCTTTGGAAAGAGAAGGGCTGGAAGGAGAAGCTGCGCTGGGGATGGGTCAATGAGCTGCCGCGTGCTGGTCGTCCTGGCAGGAAGCCACTTGTTGAAGGTTACTGGCGCGATGGTAAGATGTGGGAAGAAGCAGTACAGACGCTTCGTCGCACGTCAGAGATGTAGCATCATACATATGAAAATCCCCTTTAAAGCACCAAAGATCTTCATTCTAGGTTCCGTAAGAGAAGAATGATCGAAATGAGAGCAAAATTGTTTCCACCATACTACCGTTCTCTTCCAAGTGTTAGAGCCGAACCAATCAAATCGCGTTTCTCACATAGCTCTTGCAGTCGGCGAGGAGCACATTAAACATGGATTAACGTAGTTAATGCGCTTCCCTTTCCTGCTGGTCGGGCTTTCCAAATATGTGGTCGAGAACACAATTTGAGCGTTCTTTCTTCACGAAACTGAAAACAGTCCTAAGACAAACTTTAAGCATATGCGTTTGCATTACCCAGAAGCTAACAGAATCAGCCCTGGCGGGCCCTCAAAATTCATGTCGCTAACACTATTTCTTTACTTGCTTTTCATCCCTTTTATCCTCAATTCCTTCATATCAAACCTCACTTTCACTTCAAAATCGTTTATCATCGCTGTTAATACTTTATATTAGATATCACGTGTATCCAAAGCTATCGCAAAGCTCATTTGTCAGAGATGTCATCGAAAGACACCCTTCCTCTGTTCCTCCGCGATCTCAAAGACTCTGGACAGTACAGTGACCTCAAGATTGAGTGTGAAGGAGAAGCTTTCCATGTGCACAAAGCCATCGTCTGTTCCCAGTCTGAGATCCTATCTCATAAATACAAAGATGCGTCTGAGGTGAGGCGATACTTCTGTTACGCCGCCATACGGAGCCGATAATAATCCTACAGGGTGCTCCTGAGGCAGTCATTCAGATCGAGGGATATGATACAGCGACAGTGAAACTGATGATTGAGTTCCTATACTTCGGAGATTATGCGATTCCTGATAAAGGTACGAGGACATGTACATTCCTCGGTTATCTATCTCTGCTAACACACGATTGACTTGAACTACCTCAAGAGAGTGAGCTAAGCATCTCGGCAAACGCTTCAAAGAAGCCCACTACAGCGGAAAGACTGCGCCCCCATATCTACGTCTACTATATTGCGGACGAATACCAATTGCCATACCTGAAAGAAAAGGCAGCAAATCACATAGAGTCCGCGACTAAAATGGCTTGGAATCCGAAAGGATTCGTCGAGTTCGTCAAGGAAGTGTTCGAAAAAGCTGATACAACGATACGTCAAAAGCTATCTAAACTTATTAGTGAACATATTGACGACTTTTGCCAGACCGAAGTGCTGGAGAAGCTCATCGATGACGATCTGAGCAGATGCGTGATCATGGCCATGAAGGCAAGGTATGAGTGGACGCAGCCACAGTTGATGGTTACTCAGGAATGCCTGATAACGACGAACAGAACAGTGGAGAGTTTGAAAGCACAGGTCGAGGTGCTGCAGAAGAAGATAAGTAATATGAAGGCTGGTGTAGAGCAAGGCCACAATCTGCTTCATGACACAACGACTTGCCGCCATTGCGGTATGATGTTTCTTGGCCGGCTTGTATGCAAAGGTGCTTTTGAAGATGGCTATTTTCTACGTTGCAGTCGATGCCGAACCAAACATCATTAGGTTGGCCCACTGACTTCATCCTAGCATACGGAATTATTGTCGCTAACGTGTAGGAGAAACAGATAATGATACTTATTTGCATACATGCCCCAGATGCCCCTGACGCCTTCGACCTTTGAACTTCTCTAGAGCCAGCACTTTGCTTCCTGCCTGATCACGAGCAGCCATTTGGCGCGTGTCAGATGTTGTTGTGAGAAAGCAGGACGCACCGGTGCTGACGGCCAGTATCATTCGCATCGTCAGGCCATGTTATTGCAGCGAAATGGATAGTTCACCGGCATGTCACATTGGCATTATTTGTCACATCGTGTGTTACTAAAGCGGACGTTTTGCGAAGCAAACGAAGACCACCAGTGAGGATAGCATATTTATGATAGAGAACGAGCTGGATGATCATGGAAACCGTTTTATCAGTGCACGGCAGCCTCTGAATTGTCTTGACAGATTGAGCATAGGGGAGTGGAACCTTATCACTATGTATTCTGAATTAACCAGGCCTCAATATTCAGTTAAGAGTTCCTTGATTAGGTAGTTCATGGCACCAGGAGCTCTATAGCTCATTACCTTTTAACGAGATCTCTCTTGAATTTTCAGCTGATCCATTGGATAACCATCCATATTGTGGCCCAGGCCAACAGGAACGCTTATCAGCTGGCCACCCCCGATCGCTACCACCCCGCACGATAATGCAACCCAGGACTTGTTAGTGTTTTCCCTAAATTAGCGCCGCACAAATCCATGACTACAATAGGGTGCGAAGATTATCTATCCCGTTGGTGTGATTTGATCTCCTGCTGTTTCCCTTTCAGGATAGCGCACTGACTGCTGCTTGCCTTATCGTCCTTCAATTCTGTCTATAGATATCTCTACTAGCACGCTTTTCGAATACTGTACCGACCTCACTCAAGGATCGGTTTATCTAGAACAATGTTAGGACTCTGGTGTGCTGCTATCGTCATTTTTCTTGTTTTTCTCTATCAGCGATTGTCGGATCCCGTTTCCAAACTCCCTGGTCCTTGGTATACCAAGTTGACAAGTCTGGTTATCAAGTACCATGAGTTTTCGGCTAGTCGTCGTGTATTTATCCATCAACTGCACAAACAGTATGGCACTATTGTGCGGATAGCGCCCAACGAGGTCTCCTTTGCATCTTTGGATGCTATTCGAGAGATTTACGCATCAGGCGGCAGTGGCTATGATAAGACGGAATTATATGACCTCTTTCGCCAGTTTGGGATCAAGTAGGTCGCGCATAATTGGATTCCTCTGGATATTAATCAATTCCAGGACAATGTTTTCTACACTCGACAAGCAGACGGTAGGTTACTCATAGTAGAATTAGGCCTCATCGGCTGACCTTTCAAAGCACAGTGAGCGAAAGCGACAATTAGCCGATCGATATGCCATGTCGAACATACTGCGAGAACATCATGTGTCGGCAATCCGAGAGAGCGCTAAAGCGTTCGTATCCAAGTGTGCTTCTATCGCGAAAAGTGTGGATGTCTATGTATGTAAGAAATCCAGATCAGACTAGGCCATGCTAACCTGCATAGATATATCTACACTGCTATGCACTTGACTGCGTAACACACTTCATGTTTAGTCCTAGCGGATTGAAATCTCTGACCGATGAGAATGACTTTGAGCTGATGGAGGAAATGACGTACCATAACAGCTTACAGAGTATGTTGCTTTCTGTGCGATAAAGGACCTACTAACGGATATAAGAAAACCTACTTCCTTACTACCTGCCACATCTAGCTCCATACTTCCCTTCTTGGCTGCTACCCCGTCGGGCCCCTAAATCCAACGCATACGTCCATAAAGTCACGGCCCAGACAAGTCCAGACGAGTACAGTCTCCTTGCTCGTCTCTTGCGAAAGGATTCGTCCATAACCAAGTCACAAGCAGCAGCAGAATGCAAAGATCATATGGCGGCAGGAATCGACACAACAGGCGATGGCTTGTGCTTTTTGATGTGGGAGTTGTCGCAACCGCACAACTTCCGATTTCAAGACCGTCTTTATGAGGAACTTCGCTCAGCACCAGAAGGTACGCACATTGATCGATTACCGTACCTCGATGCTGTAATCAAGGAAGCCTTGCGCTGTGCGCCGCCAATCCCCATGTCATTCCCTCGTTATGTGCCAAGCGGTGGTAGAACAATTGACGGGACCTTCATCCCCGAGGGAATCATCGTCAGCTGCCAGCCGTACACCGTGCATCGCCTCGATGAAAAGGTATTCCCGGATCCAGATACTTTCAATCCGGATCGCTGGATGGAGGAAGATGGCATCAACGAGCGCAACCGATTGTTTTTTGCTTTTAGCACCGGAGGGAGAGGGTGCACTGGAAGAAAGTAAGTTGCATTGTTATCTTCGTGACTTTGGGTCTAACTTTTGGAAGCCTGGCGACTGTTGAGATGAAGATCCTTCTCCAAGAAGTTTATGCTCGGTTTCAGACGACGGTAGCTCCGGACATGACTAGCTCCATGGAGATCGACGACCAAATCATCTCGTCTCGACCGAAGGGGCAGAAGTGCAAACTTATATTTACTCCTCGTGAAATATGAGATAGATTTTCTGAAGGCCAAGGTGATGAAGTCCATGAATATTGGCATTAACACTGCATCGAGATTGCCCCAACGCAGGCACGGACAGCCGTGCGGGGTGGAGATATCCGGTCCGCTTCTGATGCGGGGTAAGCAGATCACGGGCGACCGCTAGGAGATGAAGTCAGAAGTAGCTGTCTATCAATTAATTTATCGGCTGTTTGCACCGGCATTTACTTCAAAAACGCTGTAAACTTTTGTGTTCATTGTATCGTTGGTATTTGGTACCAAATACAGAGCTGAGAGAACCGAGGTTTGGCTTCGAAAAAGCAGACGTCTGCATCTTCTATAAGTACCAGCTACATTATCGATAACAATCCAGCATGATGGCTGTCAATCTGAATCACTTTATATTGTATCCATTTATAACTCAATAACAGCCTCGTCAATACCATGCACATGTCTTCCCTTTCAAACTGGGCCACAGTAGCCCTCCAGGCCCTTCTTCTGTTTTCTCCCAACATTCCTGTAGCTACCTCCTCACCATCTGCCCCAGAACTATCATTCCTATACACGGCCTACGTCGAATGCGAATCAAGTCTCATGAGCTCTCCTGGCCCTCACGGTGTGCGACGTACAATTCCAATTGTGGGTGGGAACTTCACTGGTCCTAATCTATCCGGTAGCCTACATCCCGTACCCAATACCTTCATATTAGTTACTAACATCCTTTAACAGGCAAGATTCTTGACGTCGGGGCCGACTGGGGCCTAGTCGATCCTCAAACCGGCATCTTCAGCGCAGACACCCGATACAACTTCCGGACAGATGATGGAGAGAATATCTTCCTTCAGACGTCTGGGCCGAAGTCGCCCAGTGGACAGCTACATCTTCGACTGGTGTTTGAGACGGGCAGTCGGAAGTATTACTGGTTGAATAATGTTGTTGGTATGTTGGGGTCTGCAGTCTGCGGAGAGGGAGGTTATTTTGATGGGTGGGGTACGCTAACATGATGAGTAGCGATCGGTATTCTTACCAGTGTGGCCGAGACGGCTAATACTAGTCTGCTTAGGATTGATGCTTGGAATGTGAGTTAATTGGAATGATTCTTGGTTGTTTGTGGGATGCTGACGAAGGGTTAAATGCAGATGGCCACGGATTGGAATTCGACGAGTTTTCTGAATCCCACTACGACAACTGCATCTGGCTGAAAAAGTCAGGATATATCGGTCGATACTTAGTATACTTATCACGGGGTTTTTATAATAGTATTTGTTGAGCCTGCTGGGGAGATAAGGTCAACCGAAAAAGGCTTGCTGCTGCCATGCTCGAATTTGGCTGTATACCTATAAGGAGGGAAATACACGGAGCTGCTATAACCTCAACCCCTTTTTTTTTCACATCAGATACCGGTTATGTGCAATAAGCTGCTTTACCTACACGTAATACTGGAATCCTCTCAGCCGCGGAGCTGATATGGCAGTGTCGCCGAATTCGGCGCTGGTCGGCCGACGCCGTGCGGGGTAAGCCAGCGATAGCGTCGAATTACTCAGTCAAGCCGACGCACTCAACCAAGGTCCTCATATGTGTCATTCTCTTCCCTCGTTAACTGCACCCTCTTGCCCCTAAAGCTTTAACTTTTTACTGTTCAACACTCAATTCATACAATGGCTGCTGAAAACCCTCCCTCGCAGAGCCGTCTCTCGACGCGGATTTCTATCCGCTGGGTCCCCGAGCCCGCCTTCGAAAATACCGACACAATTGTCATGTCGGTTGCAGGCTGGTACGTCGACCTGCGCGTTGACAAGGCCTCCGGGAATATCGACTGGGCTATTGCAGGCCAGAGAGTTGTCGATGATGCGGATTCAAGTATGATCACTTCCAGCCGATTCTTTCGTTGAGAGGTTAACGGCTATAGGTCGGGTGTCGTTCACCCATGAACTCGACTCTAGGAACTCGTTTGATGCGGTTGATTGCGGTACATTCTCCACTCTTCCTAATGGCGATGATCTTGAGAAAGGCGAAATGCCTCGTGCCGACCTACCTGGCTCCCCGATCGCAGAGTATGAGGAGGTTTGGCGTGAGTTGAAATTCCAGGAGGGTCCGGAGGGCCCCAATACGGGTGTTTCGTGGGTCCTTGAGTCGAGACAGAAACCTCTGGACGAAGGGGAGGAGGCTGAAGTGGAGAGGACTTTCCTTGGGAGAGTTTGGGGTACGTATCTGGCTCTGCACCAGGTTCAGATACATACTCGTCCCAGATGTTCATCTACGACGGTCGTTAAATCGGGACAAGAAGTCAGTGCTAGGAGGGAAGAATGGGACTCTGCTTCCGGTTGGCAGCTCAAGTACTCCATCGGTCCCGCCGGAGCTCAGCTACCGTCAACGACCCAAATTCTTGGGGATAGCTCGTGGCGAACTGGCCAGACAGTTATACTTGCAGGAAAAGAATACATTGTGAGAGGATTCGAAAGAATAGTCTAAGGTGCGTCACGTTCGTCTATATACTCATTACTCTATATTATATACAAGTGATGGTTGCTTACAGCTCGTTGCTCAGGACGTAGCGGTAGCGGGCCTTGCCAGCGTCCATGTCCACAACGGCCTTGTTGGCGTCCTTCATGGAGCGCTCCTCGATCCAGGGCTGGACCTTCTTCTCGGCAGCCAGGGCAAGCATCTCACGGATCTCGTTGGGGCCTCCGATGAGGGAACCTCCCAGCTTAACACGCTTGCCGATCAGAGCGAAGGCGGGGATCTCAAGGGCACCGTCCTCGGGAGCACCGACCTGGACGAAGTAACCGTCAAGGTCGAGCAGATTGGCGTAGTCCACCATGGGCATCTGCAACGGGTTAGATTCACAGGAATAATACAAATACGGCTAAGATGCATACCTTGGAGGAAGAGACGGTAGAGACAATGAGGTCAAGGGAGCGGGCGTTGTTCTTGGCCCAGTCGGCATCGTCATCGGTGGCGATGTATGCATCAGCGCCGAGCTTCAGAGCATCCTCCCTCTTGTTGTTCTTGCGAGAGATGGCAACGACCTTGTCGGCACCAAGGGCCTTGGCGAACATGATACCGAAGTGACCGAGACCACCAACACCGATGATACCGACACGCTTGCCGGGAGCGCAGCCGTAGTGTCTCAGGGGAGAGTACACGGTGATACCACCGCAGAGCATGGGCGCAGCCTGGGCGGAGGGGATGGCGTCGGGGATCTTAACAACGAAACGAGAGGGAGAGCGGTGGTACAGGGAGTAACCGCCGTAGGACTTGCCGCCGTTCTGGTAGACGCCGTTGTAGGTGCCAACCATGGAGTGGCGGCAGTACTGCTCAAGACCAGAGGCGCACTCCTCGCAGTCACCGTTGCGGCCGCGGCAAGAGTCGCTCTGAGCACCGACACCAACACGGTCTCCAACCTTGATATCACCCTCGGCCTGGGAGCCAACGCGAACAGCGACACCGACGATTTCGTGACCGACACAGCAGGGGTACATGGTGGGGCCCTACATCTTGTTAGCTTGCAGTTCGAAAAAAAAAATGGAGTGAACCAGCATGCATACCCAACCGCTTCTGAGAGTGTGCAAGTCGGATCCGCAGATACCGCAGTGGGTGACCTTGATGTCAACATCGGACTCCTCCCAGGGCTTGGGCTCGAACCCCTGCCAGACCATGTTGCCGACGGAGTTCTTGTCAAGGCCCATCCAGCCCTCGAACTTGTAATCGGAAGCAGCCATTTTGATTGAGTGTTTGAGTATGGAGGTTATGATTATCCACAGAGTATGATTGTCGATTCCCCAGGGGTACTCTTGGCCTTTTATATACGGATCACTTGCAACCAGGACAACGGGACAACGGGACAAGATTAGAAATCGAGCAGACTCTGGTCCACTTTTGATTCATGCGTGACGAGGGTGGAGACATGTTCCGTCCGAAGCCCATTCGATGACATACGATGGTACGACAGTGATCTTGGGTCGACCCTGAATGGGTTACGACATCGAATTTACACGCCCCTTAATGGCCGGTAAGCGTACCTGGAAGCTTACCAGCGATCATGCAGCTGGCGCAGTTCGCCGCAATCGAAGATTTTTCAGTGTGAAGCTTCCTGCCACGGGGCAACGGCATGGAATTTGGTTGAGGAGTTTCATTGGTTTCAGTTAGTAAGGGACCCATCGCATGGTGATGAATTCCAATGTTCGGGATGGGGTTCCATGGACCTGGCGCGCTAACGGCAGTCTGCTTACGGCCCACTCGTGTGCAGCGGAGTTAAGCATAAGATGCTGACAGGTCTTCCTTCACAACACTACAACGATGAATCGTCCATTTATCGAAAAGATCTTGATATACTTCTTCTGTTTGTGATCACATTTCCAACATATGCCAGATTCTTGCATTTCCGACCGTGAAAATGGCATCAATGGCTTTCTAGTCACGCCGGTGACAAGACGATATCTCCGGCGCTTACACCCGTCCGGCGTTAACAAAACGTTGGGCTAGTGCCGATCTTTCTCCGGCCACGGAAGGTGAGCCAGCCGCGGCATCTTGAGAGATCCCGGACTTCCAATTCCACGATTCGAAACTTCTAGAGCCTGAGCCTGAGCCTGAGCCACCCGAGCGGTCAGCCCATGGGATAGCTGTCAGCGGGCCGCCACATGCTCTTCCGCTGTGTATTTGTGGTATGGCTGAAAAGCTTGTTGTGCCTCTTCATTAAAAATTAGCCACTGAAAAACTTATTTTGGACTAAGTCGGACTGGAATGCCCTGTGACATCATTCTCGTCCGATAAGTCCTGGGCCGGAGATATCCGTCGCACTCCAGATGGAGTCAGTCAAGCTGACGGCTGAGATCGTTAGCTACGAGCCGAGTCCGGGGGTAGCGTGTTTATTATTGATTTATGACAGACTTGATGTTTGTTGCCACTTGCCAGTAGGTTCTAGACAGTCCCTGATGCTAAGCTGTGGGTGGTTGGTTTGGAGGATATCAACTTGATAGTAATAATAAGTAGGTCCGCACAGACGTCCATCAAACATTATTGCCCAATGAGAACCATCATCGAACCATTAGTATTCTCACCCCCATTCAATGAACAGTTAAACTCAACACACGATAAACAACAGATAGTCACCATCATCGTCAGCTAGTGCCAGCTTACTAATTCACAACCACCACCGCCTCCCTCACCAAAAAATAATGCGTCGTCGGCTCGGTCCCTCCAAACTGCTCATACTCCACCGTAATCTCATCCACGACCCTGAACCCATGATTCAAATATACCTTCAACCCTGCCGGCTCAGACATCACATACGTCTTGATGCCGTACTGATCCGCCACCCGTAGTCCACTCTGCACAAGCATACTTCCTACCCCTTGTCTCCAGTAGTCGGGGTGAGTGGTGAGGTATTCCAAAGCTGTACACACACACCCAACCAAATTAGCAATTTATCCATCTTTCCCGCCCAATATATATAAAATATGGAGATGTGAAATCATGATCAACAACAAGTATGATAAATGATGAGATAGAGATAGAAGAAATCATACTTAATACTTCCTCACCCCCAACCACATCCCTCAACACCCTCTCCTCGACCTCCTCTAACGGAGTCCCTCGAAACTCTAATAACCCGTCGCTTTTCATTCCCTTGACTCTGCCCTTCTTGTCGCTTCCGAGATCATACATCTTTTTGAATTGTTCTTTCTCTTGAGATGAAGGCTCGGGTACTTGTGCGGACAACCATACGTCGTCTCTGTTGGAGAGAGAAGGAGGGAGAGTCCATCGCGCGTAGCCGATTACTCTCTCTTTACTACCTTCGTCAGTATGCTCCGCGTTCTCGTTAGCAGTTTCAGGGGTAGTGCTGGTAAGGACAACTTCATGCCTCCGGACATCCCGCGCTGTACTCAGCGTATGAGGGAGACGGGACTCGGTCGAGGAGATGATGGATGCTGGAGTGGTGGATGGCATGAAGAGGAAGGCCCAGTGTGGGTCTGTGAGGCGAGAGAGGATCATGGTTTCTGCTAAGGTGGGGGAGTGGGAGGGGTGCGCGGGGTGGAGGGTGTATTTTTGTGGCATTTTGGGCGGGTTTGTGTTGGTGGTGGTGGTGGTGGTGGTGGTGGTGATGGTTTGGTAGGCTGTGTTGTTGGGTGGTGATGGTGGTACAGAGTGGTTTGTATAGGCAAGGGTTTGGGATTGAAGACAGGTGGTCTTTGGGATACGATGATGATGCTTATCGG